ACAAACAAAATAAAGGAGAAAAAAATCCCTTATTTATCTCCACAGACATATTCAAAGCACTGGCTAAGCGGCTGCAGTGGTGACTCAACAAAGAATTTGTCTACTATGCTTCAGTTCTTCCCCCAGAACTACAAATAAAATTTAAAACTTTGATAAAACTCAACATTCAACCACATTAAAAACTAGGAACAGCCAGCACTGGTGGCTCACGCCTATAATCCTAGCTACTCAGGAGACTGAGACCTCAGAATCAGGGCTCAAAGCCTTCCTGTGCAGAAAGTCCCCATGAGATTTATCTCCAATTAGCCACTCAAAAATGGGAAGTGGATCTGAGGCTCTAAGTGGCAAAACACTAGCCTTGAGTTCAGGGATGGCACCCAGACCCTGAGTTCAAGCCTCACACCACCACCAACAAACAACAACAACAACAACAAAACACCTAGGAATGGGCTGGGAAGGTGGCTTAGTGGTAGAGTGCTCGCCTTACATGCTTGAGACCCTAGGTTCAATTCCTCAGCACCACATAAGCAGAAAAAAAAGTGGCACTGTGGCTCAAGTGGTAGAGTGCAAGTCTTGAGCTGAAGAGCTGAGGGACAGCACTCAGGCCCAGAGTTCAGGCCCCATGACTGGACCCCACCCCCACCCCCAAAAACACCTAGGAATAAAAAACAAAACACTGAATGTTAACCCTCTAAAACCTGGGATAGGAAAAAGATGCCCTTATTACCATCCTAGAAAACATATCCAATATGGCCAAAAATATGCAAATTTAAATCACAATGAGATAATACTAGCTCACCAAAATGATTAAAATTAAAAATACCAAAAATACTAAAATTAAAATTACCAAATACCGGATAAGTATATGGGACTCTGGGACTGACAGAGATTTGAACTAATGCAATCTCTTTGGAAACATATTTGGCCATAACTACTAACCCTTGCCTATGTATACCCTTGAATCCAACATTACTCTGGGAGTATTTCAACGAAGTAAATATGGAGGACATCTATGGCTATCTTTTTTTGTAGTTGTTATTTGAGTATAGTACTGTAGGTAAAGATTGAACTCAAGGATTCATGCTCTCACTTGACTTGCTTGTTCATGGCTGGTGTTCTGCCACTTAAGCCACAATTCCAGCCTGCCTTTTGCTGGTTATTTGGAGATGGAGTCTCAGACTTTTTTGCCCAGGCTAGCTTCAGACTTCTATGTCTAAGCCTCTTAAGTAGCTAGGATTACAGGCATGAGCTACCAGAGCCTGGCTACATTTACGTTTTTGAGGATTTTATGTATAATAGCCCTAAACTCTAAACAAACCATTTATCTATCAACAACAAAACAGACAAATTCATAGCATAGAATACTATGCATGAATGGTTCACAAACTTTAGCATGTAGCAGAATCACCTGAGGACGTGTAGGAAGGGGTCTGAGGATTCCACCCCACCATAAGAAGCAATGCCAAAGAGTGGGTTTACACACTCTCTCAGTAAACTGAGAGTGTACGTCTTGTGACTGTGACTATGACTTCCTGCTATTATGAAGTCATCCATAAACATTGTAGAAGAGTATCTGTTACTGGTCAAAATGAATTCTGTTTCTTCTGTTTGTTGACTGGTAACAAGCTCTTTTTTGAAAATCATTTTTTATAACTTTTACTCATATATTTTTTGGGGTCCTAAGGATTTTCTTATTATTTTGTATACTTGTTTTATATGGTAACTATTTTGCACAATTAAAAAAAAACACTGCTATAGATACAAGAGAAGGAACAAACTACTGTTATACACAATCATAGAAAAAAAGCTCACTGACATAACACAGTGCCAAAAATAAAACATCAAGGTATGTGTACCATATGATTTCATTTGCATGAAGTCTAAAATCATGCAAAATCAACCCACTGTGATTAATCAGAACAGTGCTTGTCGGTGGTGGGTTCTGATTTGGAGGCAGGAAGGAAGCTGTGACAATAGTGGTAATGTTCTACGTTACATCTAAACTGGGGTGGACTGCACAGGTCCTGAGAGAGCTTGGCTGTGTTGGCCCCTAGGGAAGCACACCTTGTGCCTGGGGTCTAGGGCTAGTTCTGTGATTCTCCATTTCACTAACCGAGGAAGGCAGAAGTGAAGCAGCACTCGCTGTAGGACAGTCCTTAGCTTTCATTCGTGCACTCTATCAGTCTGGGTTCATGAAAGGGCACAATAATTTGAAGAAAAAAGTTTTAATGTAAGTAATTCCTAACTATAACAGGGATTAAAATAACAAAGGAATAGCTAGTAAGCAGAACTCTGTAGAACACAAAAATAGCAAGATAAAAGGAACAGGTACAAGCCAGGTGCTGGTGGCTCACCCCTAAAATCCTAGCTACTCAGGAGGCTGAGATCTGAGGATCGCGATTCAAAGCCAGCCCAGGCAGGAAAAGTCTGTGAAACTCTTTATCTCTAATAAACCACTAGAAAACAAGAAGTGGTACTGTGGCTCAAGTGGTAGAGTGCTCGTCTTGAGCTGAAGAGCTGAGGAACAGCACCCAGACCCAGAGTTCAAGACCCACTACCGACAAAAAAAAAAAAAAAAAAAGGAACAAGTACAACTTCTACTACCTCAAGAGTTCCTGCCTCCCACCCAGACAGATGTGAACCTAACTGAAGAGGGCACAGCTGTGGCCATCCGCTGCAGGTGGAGCAATGGGCCTCCCTGTGATCATTACAGCAGACTCCAGAGACACTGTGTGGGAAGAGGCAGGCCTGTGAACACATGGGAACCAAGAGGCAAAACCCCTTCCTACTGCTGTTTCCTGGGTACCCTCAACAGACAACATTTAACAACAGAGTTGGCAAAGGAAAATTATTTAAAGGGCCCAGTTTAATCCTTACAGAGCAGGTGAGAGTATTTACAGAGCTGTCACACTTGGTGGGAAGGTAAAGCTGTTGAGAGGCATTACCTGATTCTACCTCTAAAACTACACTACAGTATAAGCACACATAGTAAAATCCACAGCAACTGAAGCTGTTTTATGCTCAGCTTCGATCCTGGCAGTGTCAGGTCAACAGAACTCTCCAAAGTTTTGTTCTCTATAAAGTGAAAAGATTGGGTTAGATGAAGTCCTGCATTCTTTCTGCTTTAACATTTTCTATCCACGAGCACTTAAGTGGTAGGATGTGCTCTCTCACAGTGATGATCCTATGAGGTCATCATTATCAAGAATAGCCTTGGGGCTCAAGAATGCTGGGCTATATAGCTTGATAGAGTTACTGGGATGGGGTTTCATTTAACATGAATGGGTGCAAGACAAAGTAATTGGTAAAGGAATAACCTCATCTCCCAAGCTTCAAAGACAAATAACATTAGGTGAGAAAAAGTACTGTGGCTGGCATCTCAAAAATGTTACTGATTTCAGACATGGGGCTAGAGCAGACCTAAGCACAAAGGGCATTTGAAGCCTATTTACAGAGTTCCTTCTTAATTCCCAGAGGAATAAGAAGTCACTGAAATCATTAACACAGAGGGATGAATAACTAATAAAACTTACACTTTGAAAAGATCACTTTAGCCTCAGTGTGGTAAGCAGAATATGAAGAAGCCAGAGGACACAAAACAAATTAAGAAGCTACTGTTCAATCAAGACATGATAGAAGCATGGATTATGGCAACGAGCAGTGGAAATAAACTGACGGGTTTTAGAGATATTTAAGAAGTAAAACCTGGGGCTGGGAAGGTGGCTCAGTGGTAGAGTGTTTGCCTTGCATGCATGAGGCCCTGGGTTTGATTCCTCAGCAGAAAAAAAAAAGCCAGAAGTGGTGCTATGGCTCAAGTGGTAACGTGCTAGCCTTGAGCTTAAGAGCTGAGGGACAGTGCCCAGGCCCAGAGTTCAGGCCCAAGACCGGACCCCAAAAAAAGAAGTAAAACCTACCGGACTGGTCATAGATTGGGAATACAAGCAAAGTAAAACAATATGTCAGGAAAGACTTGCAATTTCTTTGGCTTAGGAAATTGGCTGAAAAGGAACACTGGAAAAGGACCATGTTTCTATCCTGTCTTAGATTCCATCAAGCCCTCAGTTTTGTGTTTTGACAGGTATTAAAAGTATCCAAGAGAAGACATCAAGTATGTGGTTAGATACGTGTTGGGAGCTCAGAAGAGGTGTAGGCAGGAGAGATAAACTTATTAGGAAATCAGTTTAATCTTGACCAACACCAACAACTGGTTGAGGATAAACCAGAAAAGAAAAAGAAAGACAAGTAGCTGGGGAGAAGCAAGAGGGAAACCAGAGTTGGTGTTTCAGAAAGCAATAAAGGCAGATCATTAAGGAAGGTAAAGAGATCTGTAGTATAATGTGTAAGAGCTAAAGATGAGATCTAAAATATGTCCTTTGGTCTACAATGTTTTCAATGGAAACTAATTCAGAAGAACGATGGGCTAGCTGAATATGCTTCATCAGCTACTAAGGAAGGGACAAGGGATACAATGGCAGGTACAGAGGACACCACTGCATACTGAGAGCTAACTGTGAAGACACAGCTGAGGGAGAGAGTGCCTATATAAGAAAAAGAAGCAAGGAGGGCCAACGCTCCTGGCAAGAGTAGGAATGAGATAGAAATAAGAAGGGAATGAATGAGACTCAGGTAGGAGGAGGGACAGCCTCTAATTATAAAAGGAGAGATGACAATAACATGTACAAATATAAGTAGATGTCTACGTTTTGTGTGAAGATTCCCATATAATGACTTCTGTTTTCTTTATTAAAGTTCTCTAATGGTTATGAGCCAGTATTTAAGGCCAAACTACTAAACAATGCGTAGAAATAATCTGGACTTACAGAAACAATTTCTACTATTAGCCAGTGTTCCAATAGTATTCCATCTCTATACGGAAATATCAAAACAAGATTATTAATTGCTTAAATCAGAAAGTACATATATTCTCTTGATTGAAAATCAGCAGCATAAAATTAGCCTTTCTCAAAGTATAAGCTTATTTCTTGAGTATGAGAACTCACTTATATGATGCTTCCCAGGCCTCTTCTTCTTCCAGGAGATCTCTTATGATGTCTGAACTGGAACTGAAAGAATATGTGTATCAGTAGTGCCAGACAATGTGTGTGTGCTGTGTGTGTATACTTTCCACTAACATAAACCTCTAGTCTACAAGAACAGAAAAACAAACCAGCAGACCAGTGGTAGTTATGTGTGTGTACAACAAGGCGGGCAGGAAGGATGACAAAGTGGCAGAAAGAATCTGGAAGGAATCTGATGGCTCACTACCTCGACTGGGAGAATGGCGTCACAGTCACACACATGCATGAAAACCCATCAATATTTACGGTTTAATATTACACAATTTTATTAAAGGCATAAAAAAACCTTAAGGAATTTTCAATAAGAAAAAAATCAGAAGCCTAAATAAATCCCTCAATATAAAAACTTTACCTAAATTGAATAATCATGACTTTTTAAATTTCACACATCAACCAAAGATCAAACCGTGTTTTATTCAGTCTCTAACACCATGAAAAACAAAGATAGAAAAAACAAAAAATAAAAAAAACAACTCTAACAACGAGATTCACAAGAGATAAGTTCCTAATTGGCTTTTAGTCTCTTGGCAACCAAAGTCAAATAAATTCTAATTAATCCAAACTGTGCTAATAATGGAAATAGGTTATAAATGCATCCTGGCTCCAAGTCCTGTATCTCTGGCAAGGATATAAAGCAGATTTATAGAAGACATGTGTTATTTAAAAGAAAAAAAATTAAGGTTTTTAAAATCATTTTAAGCATCTTGTTCTTACCCAAATCAATATGACTTAATTTTAGAAAGCCTATGTGTATACCAATATCAAAAAAACCTCTTCTCAAGACCTCATGACCTGAAATAACACGGCACTGTAGGAACAACTCAACCTTTCTCACTCTGCAGGCAGTGTAGAAGGCTGAAGTATCCCAACCCCAAGTGTGAACCAAAGGTTTGGAAATGTTAATGCAATCTTTTCTTTTTTGCAGTTCTAGCTATAAAACCCAAGGCCTCAGCCAAGCTTAGGAACATGCTCTACTACTTGAGCCACGCCCCCAGCCCTTTTTTGTACTTGGCATTTGTGTTTCTGTAGGGTTTTGTTACTAAGCTGGCACCATATTGCTAAAACTGCTCAACCGCACTTCTAGCCCTTTATTCTACTGGTTATTTGCAATCTATACCCCACAGCTGATCTGTGCTGTGATCCTCCTAAATTTGTGCTTCCCCATGTTGCTGTTGATGGCAAGCCTTTGCTGACCCCAGCCCCTGGGCTACCCTGTGGCTAGTTAGTAACAGGCATGTAATGCCTTAGCTAGCCATTGGATGAGATGGAGTTTCACCCACTTTTTTTTTTTTTATATGCTCAGGCAGGCCTTGAACTCCAATCCCTGAGAACCACCTCCCAGCTGCTATAATAAGCTTGAGCCACCATACCTGGCTTCACTGGTTTTGTCAGGAGTAGAGCATCATTTCCCTGCTTGAGTGCACACCTGGACTAGGAGTCTCCCTACTTTAGGATTCACATCATTGCTCAGATCACAGAAACACATTATTGAACCCATCTTCCCTCAGTAAGAAAGAGCCTCTTGTACTTCTCTGTCTGAGCTGGCCTAGGACAGCTGTCCACCCAATCTCAGCTTCCCAAGCAGCTTGGGAGGAAAGGTGCGCACTATTGTAGGAGCTATGGGTTGAGAAATGCAGATCTCTTATACTGTTCTTCCCAAGCTGGCCTTGAACTGCAATCATCTCAAACTCAGCTTCCCAAGTAGCTAGGCTTACAAAGTGTGAAGCAAAGGCACTAAGATTTGTAGTTCTTCTTCTCCTCATTGTCTTCAAATAGCTGTACAAAGGAGTTTCAACGTACCAGTTTGTATGTATAAAGTATTTTGTTTTTGAGACTTAGCCTCACTACTATTGCTGGACTTTGTTTATGAAGTATATGGGATTACAGATAAATGCTACCACACATAGCTATCAATCATATTCTAAATGTTACTCTTATAACTACCACACATCGCTATCAATCATATTCTAAATGTTACTCTTATAATGACTAAAGTTTAAAATCTCTGAAGATTTGAAGTGACAGCAGATCATTCTCAACCACTTCTGACAAACCACTCTGAAGCAATACCTGCCTAAAATGCCTGAATAGGAAAGAGCAACAGTGGCCATACCAACTGTCTTATGCAAGTGATTTCCTCCCCCAGTTCCCTGGATCTCAAGGGGCTCCGTGCAGGGTTCGCCGATGGGGAGTCCCACATGCAATGGCCTATGTGGGGGCAAAGTCACACCCCAAGTGCATTGCCTCTCTAGATACCCAGCACAGTGGCTCACAGGCATCTGAGAACAAAGAATGCATGTGTAGTAGTACCTTTCAATATCTGTGGCTTGAGAAAATACAGTGATTTTTAAAAAGTGATAAATTGATCACGATAAATGATTATGAGTTTAGTAAGGGGTTGGAGTCAATGCTCAGGTGTTAGAGCACCAGCGATGAAAGCATCAGATAACAAGTTTAAGTTCCAGTCTCAGACAAAAGAAAAAAAATTTCAGTAATATTTAGTTCATATATCTTCACTGCTGCAGTATAAGCACATATTTTTCCATTTATAGCTTATTTTTTAAAATAATTTTTATTGAGGTTAAATGATTACATAAATTTCACAAATTTCACAGTATTGTGGGATAGTGATACCTACAGTCACAAACACATTTTAACCTTCACGAGGCAAATTGTCACTATGATGTTTGTGAATTCTATGAGCTTTGGTAACTCAACTATTTCTTCCACATCCAGTAATATGTACATTTTTTTTCCTTTTGCTTAGTGTGAGCTGTTCCCTCTTTTCCTTTCATTCCCTCCCATCACCGCCCTTGAGTTGCTTAGTTCGTTTTCATCAATGTCCAGTGCAGCTGATTGGCCCCTCTATTGTATATTTTCCTGTTTCCTTCTGATTCTGTGCCCTCCTCCTGACTTCCCTCAGATGCATATATATACACCATATGTGGTCAAGAACATGGAGTTCATTTAGAAATGATATATAGGTACCACAATTTTTGGATCCATTCATCTGTGGTGGGACATCTGGGTTGTTTCCATATCCTGGCTATTGTGAACAGTGCTGCAATGAACATGGAGGTGCATGGGTCCTTGCATCCTGGTTCCTGTTGCTCAGGGTAGACGCCTAGGAGTGCTATGGCTGGGTCATACTGGAGGTCTATGTTTAGCTTTCTGAGGTACCTCCAGACTGCTTTCCAAAGTGGTTGTATTAGTATACATTTCCACCAGCAATGCAGTAGGGTTCCTCTTTCTCTGCATTCCCTCCAGCGTTTGTCATTGGCTGGATTTACTGGGGTAAATTCAGGTGGTATCTCAGGGTTGATTTTATTTGCACTTCCTTTACAGCCAGGGATCATGAACATTTTTCTCTCTTTTCTAGATGAGTACTCTACTACTTGAGCCAGGCACCTACCCATTTTGCTTTTAGGTTGTTTTTCAGATAGGATCTTGTAGCCAACTACCATCCTCCCGTGTTTCTGAATGAGAAGGCAGGACCCATAGGCGTGTGACCTCAGGCCTGTGCGATGTTATAACTGATTGGAACTCCTAAGCTAGGCTGATGGTAGCTTAGATGACCAGGCTGTAGACCCTGGATCCCGTCACACAACCAGAAAAAGAGTAAAGTCAGCTCCTGCCAGCACCTCCCCTAACATACATACTTTTCTTTTTCCTTTTTTTAACAGGAAGGCTTACTTAGCTAAGTAAGCAGGACAGTCCTGCCTGTCACCTAAAGTCTCACCACTTTGTCTAGAAGCTTTCAACCCACCTGTACAAATCACTTACTTGTTAAAGGAAAATATCTGCTGCACATTAGTGGCATAAACCTAAGAGGTTTTTGGTATGCTGCCTCAATGGAAACAGACAGTAGAGGAGATTCACAAAAACACCGAGAGTTGCCTATACTCTTGCTCTGTGCCTTTAATGCCACTGCCCAGCCCGGCTGGTGGTTCCCCAAAGACCTTCTATCTACTACACTTCACGTACTACCAGAAAAATCACCAAAGCAACCAGTGGACTGTCATTGTGTCAGTCCAAGTGGGAAGTCCAAGTTTTACCTACCTAGGAGTGACAAGATGACCTGTTATGCTTGCAGTTTCAACTCTAGTCACCACTGAGGTACTAAGAGTTGATATATACAATGCTCTGCTACATTACAGAACTTCTAGAACTTCTAACCACCCATCCCCGTTTTTTGTGCCAGTCCTGGGGCTTGAACTCAGGGCCTAGGCTCTGTCCCTGAGTTGTTGTGGGTTTTTTGGTTGTTTTTTTTTTTTTTTCTCAAGGCTAGTGCTCTACTAGTTGAACCATAGTTCTGCTTCCAGCTTTTTTGGTAATTAACTGGAGATAAGAGGCTCCTGTACTTTCTTGTCTAGACTGACTTTGAATGGTGATCATCAGATCTTAGCCTCTTGAGTAGCTAGGATTATAGGTGTGAGGCCCCACTGCCTGACTTGTTCAACTCTTTTAAAGCAATGTACTCAGCTATATTCTACTCAACAGTCACATTCCTGAAATTAAATAGGACTTTTTAAAGAGTACTTACTGGGCCTAACATCCAATGTTTCTAAAATTAACACTCACAGATCTCTTCCTTTTGAGCAATCTTTGAAGTCTTAGTAATTTTACTATGTCCTGAAGATCAAAAACTCCTTTAAAATATTTTCAAGTCTTGTTAAAAAAAAAAAAAGATAATTACTCACTCTAGCATACCCAACGTCAGAGCATTCACAATCCCAAGCAAATACAACTTTTAAACCTAGAACAATGAACTTCTTCAGAATAAACTTCACCTTCTCTGTTTTTGGTCAGTTGTAGAGCTTGAACTCTGGGCCTGGGCGCTGTCCCTCAGCTCTTCAGCTCAAGGCAAGCACTCTACCACTTGAGCCACAGTGCCACTTCCAGCTTTTTCTGTGTAATGTGGTGCTGAGGAATCGAACCCAGGGCCTCATGCATGCGAGGCAAGCACTCTACCACTGAGCCACCTT